TGTCTTCAGGGCTGGAGAGAGCAATCTTTTCCTTTTCACTGGAAACTAGACATCACCTGAGGTGGGTAGCATCTGCCCTATGCTTGTCTGTTCAGTCTGTGGACTGACTGGTGAAATCCATGGTGGAAATGTTGGGCTGAATGTTCAGACTCCCTTGTTTTCACAGCCCTGCCTGACGAAGTGCCAGTTTGGTTGGTCCAAATAAAGGTCTAGACTGACTAGATTTTAGATCTTTTCTTCCTGGGTCAATATAGCTGGATTTTTTTTTTTTAATGTCTCAGTTTCCCCAAGGTCATGGATCTTTTCCTAGAAATAAGACTCCCTGACTAATATAGAAACAAGCTGCATTGAGCTTGGTGGGAATTCTTACTAAAGAACTGATCTATAAGGGTTTTACTGAAGGACATTGATTCATTTAAATATTTCCAGTGCACATTTTCCCAGAAAAGTTTGCAAAACCCACTGTTTAAAATTTTCAAATTAATACAAGTTAAGCTGGTTAATTAAGTTTAATTAAAACGCTCCTTTGCAACCTAAATAAAAAGATACTGTTAAAAGAGACAGAATATAAACAAAGTGGGTGTCTTCCAGAGCCATGACACAATTGCTGGAAAAGCCCACTTCCAGCTGATCTACCTTGGCACAGAACATACAAAGTCGCACGCAGAATATGTTTCGAGGCTGCGCAAATCCTTCAAAAGAGGGTCAGAGGCTGCCTAATGAATTTGTGGCTAAACTGACAACGATGGAACTACTCAACTTTCTGGTTTGGACCAATGTAATTGCTGCTGTAATACATGCCAAGAGCCGACCGCGTGTGCCTGTGATTTTCATCTGGTTGCTGACCTGATACTGGGTGCATCTATTCCTTAACAGAGTGAAGGGAAAAGTACAAACTTTGCCTTGCTGTTTTGGGATTTGTAATTTGGATTATTTCAGTGTCTTCTGCTTTCGAGGAGCTCCAGTGGATGCCATTTCATACCAAACAATAAAAGCAGGTGAAGCGCAAGAAGGAGCAGGTGCAGGGATCTTTTACACAGTTCTCACAAAAGCCTCTTGGAAAGGCTTTGAATGGGCAGAAACGCCCTTAGACATTTGTAGATATAGCTGCATTTATATTTGCTGGCAATATAATACAGTTTACCTCCTGAGAATGTAAACTATTCTACTATCCCTGTCCTCTCCTCTGCAAAGTAACTGTCAAAACCAGCAGAGAACACACGAGTATTAAAAAACGCATTTAGGAAGAGCAAAGGACCAAGCATTTGTTGATCTGCACAGAGCTGCAGGAAAGAGTTGTTCTAGCTCCCCCCTCTTTTTTTTTAAGTAGTGCTGGCATAGTGAGAAGGAAAAGGAACTTGGGTCGTATGATGCTCGTAAAGTTTCAGGACTGACAGGAGCCATAGCTCCATGCAGCTTAATGAAATTCTCCCCTTTGTTTAGTTTTCCATAAGCACGCTAAAAACGCTACTGGCAATCTCACCAGCCACTCTGTAATTTATTTTCCTTCTCTCTACAAATCAAAATATTTATTTATTGTTTGCTTTGCATGTTCTACCACCACGCTCTACATCAACTCCCAGCTGTTTGTACTTATAAAAAAAAAATGCACATGCTAAAATACTAAAATAGTATCAATAATAGGCACTTAAAGATCATAAAAATACACAGAGGTATGGTAAGGATAATGGCAACAATCCAATATGAGGGCTGCAACTGAAAAAATTGGACCTTGCCCCCTTCACCTCAGAAAACTGGGAGACAATCAGATTTTGCTTCCGTGTATGGGCCAGATGGGTTGAATTGGCCACTTGTATAAACAGTAGATGGTCCTATAATGACAAGTCCTCATTTAGTGGCTGCCTCATTTAGCGACCATTTGCACTTACAACAGTGATGAAAAAGTAACTTTGTGACCAGTCCTCACACTGATGACCTTTGCAGGTCTGTAAAGCAAAGGAAAGCTGTATGGGCCAGATGGGTTGAATTGGCCACTTGTATAAAAAGTAGATGGTCCTATAATGACAAGTCCTCATTTAGTGGCTGCCTCATTTAGCGACCATTTGCACTTACAACAGTGATGAAAAAGTAACTTTGTGACCAGTCCTCACACTGATGACCTTTGCAGGTCTGTAAAGCAAAGGAAAGCTGAAGTCAGATCATAAGCACAGTTGTGGTTTCCCTTAGCAACTGCTTCACTTAACTACCAAGTTGCCACCAAGGTCTACCTGTGCTTCAGTGCCAAGCCATGCAGGCTTCATAGGTTAAAACCAGCATTTGGAACCATACCTAGGAACTAGCTGGTAACTAACGCTGCAACTGCAATATAGGTGCTGTACGCAAGCCATTGCATGTTGGATTAATAATTTCTGGATGGTCTTCAAGGCCATAAGTAATCCAGATCACTGGTCATAAGTGCCTGAATCTAGGATGCCAGGGCTTCTTGATCTAGGTAGTACCCCAACTCACGCACAAGCCAACGCTAGGAAAGGTGCCTTGGCCACAGCCTCCACCTGTAGCAGTGCATTCAGGAGGTCACCCTGTCCAGAGGTATCACCAGAGCTGGCAGAGGACTCTTCTGCATAAACAGTAACTCCTTCCTGCTCCTTTTCCTTCAACCTCCAGTCCATCCAGACCTCAACAGCCTCCAAACACAGGATCAGCCAAGGTCGAGATGTAGAACAATATCATCAGCATATTGAGCTGATGAATGACCTCTTCCAGTGCTTTCATCCCTATTATTATTGCTGCCCAGAGTCACTTGGTTGAGATGGGCAGCTATAGAAAATAAATGAATAAATAAATACATTTTTAAAAAAATTATGGTCCCATAAACTCTAGTTTGACATTGTAGCAAATCAATCAGGCCTGTCTCATCCTAAATTCAGTCCACATTCAGCACACTCGCAAGGCAACTCAAAAAATGCCAGCATCAGAAGGAGGAGATGAGAGAAGCAATCACCAAGGTACTACAGATCGGTAATCCAGTCACTTCACTAATTCCAACTGTCTCCTAAAGAACAGCAGCCTCTGACCCCACCCAACCACAACTGGCCCTCATCAGGTCTGGCTTTCTTCTGCAGGCTACTCCTGAGTCATCCCCCAACCAGCTGTGTCTCGCCATCGCCAAGCACCCCTCTGCCTCTCTGGTTTTGAAGTTTTCCTTCAGACGTGGATATTCTCAGGGGTTGGGTGGGCCAAAGTCTGCTGAGTTCAGAGCAGGAACAGTGGGACCAACTCCTGGCTCAGCATTGTTGCTGGGTCTCACCAAGGCAGGTCCTAATTGTTAAGATGTCTCCTTCCAGTTCTTCTCTTTGCCTGAGGAGACCTGTTGAGACTCCATCCTAGCAATGTT